TCATCTCCTCCATATCATCCTCATAATATCGCACACATCATCTCCTCCATATCATCCTCCTGACATCGTACACATCATCTCCTCCATATCATCCTCCTGACATCGTACACATCATCTCCTCCATGTCAACCTAATGACATCGCACACATCATCTCCTCCATATCATCCTCCTGATATCGCACACATCATCTCCTCCATATCATCCTCCTGACATCGTACACATCATCTCCTCCATATCATCCTCATAATATCGCACACATCATCTCCTCCATATCATCCTCATAATATCGCACACATCATCTCCTCCATATCATCCTCATAATATCGCACACATCATCTCCTCCATATCATCCTCATAATATCGCACACATCATCTCCTCCATATCATCCTCATAATATCGTACACATCATCTCCTCCATATCCTCCTCATATCGTCTTCTTCATCATCTCCTCCATATCATCCTCATATCTCCTCCATATATCGTACACATCCTCCATCTCCTCATAATGTCATCATCATCCTGCATACATCGTACGTACACATCATCTCCTCCATATCATCCTCATAATATCGTACACATCATCTCCTCCATATCATCCTCATCCATGATATCGTACACATCATCTCATCATCTCCATATCGTACACATCATCTCCTCCTGATCATCGTACACATCCTCTCCTCCATATCATCCTCATAATATCGTACACATCATCTCCTCCCTATCATCCTGCTGACATCGTACACATCATCTCATCCATATCATCCTCCTGACATCGCACACATCATCTCCTCCATATCATGTCACATCATCTCCTCCATATTTTCATAATATCTCATCTTCCATATCATTCATCACGTACATCAATCCTCGAAATCCTCATTATCGTTTCTCCTCCATATTTTACTTCTTCATCATCTCCTCCATATCATCATCCTCATATCGTACACATCATCTCCTCCATCGTCCTCCTGACGCACATCATCTCCTCCATATCATCCTGCTGACATCGTACACATCATCTCCTCCATATCATCCTCATCATCGCACTCATCATCTGCTCCATATCATCGTCATAATATCGCACACATCATCTCCTCCATATCATCCTGCTGACATCGTACACATCATCTCATCCATATCATCCTCCTGACATCGCACACATCATCTCCTCCATATCATCCTCATAATATCGCACACATCATCTCCTCCATATCATCCTCATAACATCGTACACATCATCTCCTCCATATCATCCTCATAATATCGCACACATCATCTCCTTCATCCTCATAATATCGCACACATCATCTCCTCCATATCATCCTCATAATATCGCACACATCATCTCCTCCATATCATCCTCATAATATCGCACACATCATCTCCTCCATATCATCCTCATAATATCGTACACATCATCTCCTCCATATCATCCTCATAATATCGTACACATCATCTCCTCCATATCATCCTCATAATATCGTACACATCATCTCCTCCATATCATCCTCATAATATCGTACACATCATCTCCTCCATATCATCCTCATAATATCGCACACATCATCTCCTCCATATCATCCTGCTGACATCGTACACATCATCTCCTCCCTATCATCCTGCTGACATCGTACACATCATCTCCTCCATATCATCCTCCAGATATCGTACACATCATCTCCTCCATATCATCCTGCTGACATCGTACACATCATCTCCTCCATATCATCCTCATAATATCGCACACATCATCTCCTCCATATCATCCTCCTGACATCGTACACATCATCTCCTCCATATCATCCTCCTGACATCGCACACATCATCTCCTCCATATCATCCTCCTGACATCGTACACATCATCTCCTCCATATCATCCTCATAATGTCGCACACATCATCTCCTCCATATCATCCTCATAATGTCGCACTCATCATCGCTGTAAAAGGTGCCTCTCTTATTTTGGGGCCCACGAAACGTAGCATAAGTCGTTGCCTCTTTCTTTAACCCTCCATATAGGCGTCACAGCGTGGGGGGCTGGGGCGGAGGGGCACCTAGGCACCAAGAGCCCTACGCCCTACACCAACATACCTGATATAGGCAAACCCCTTTCTAGTCGCCCTATACGCCATGCTTGTTAGGGGGCAGTGACTCTATTCTTTCTTTCCCTGAAAACGGTGCCCCGGAAACCCCACGAGGAAGTTGATCAACAAAAATAACTCAGGAGGAGTAGGACAATGCGTCATTTGTGTTCTTCACAAAATTAGTTTTATTCATTTATGAATACCTCATCATCGCCATTATTATTATTATTATTATTATTATTATTATTATTATTATTATTATTATTATTATTATTATTATTATTATTATTATTATTATTATTATTATTATTATTATTATTATTATTATTATTATTATTATTATTATTCAATCAGTCTGACAGAAAAGAAAATGATATGAAACTAGCAGTCTTGGTGAAATGTCCAAACTGGCATGTTTACCGTTTGGTTTGAGCAACAAATCAACATCATGGCACACGGGTAGTAAACATTTAGTGCTCCGTTCTACTTCTAACTCAAGTCCAAAAATTCTCAGCGAAGTGTACGAACTCCGAAGCACCGGCGAGGATCCTGAAATTTGTTACTCCTAATTTACTCCCGGGTAGCATATAGTTTTACTGTTTGCTCATTGAGTAACACAGTTTCGTCTAATATTTAGCATGTTGAGAATATCAGAAAAGCGACCAAGGATCTACGGTCCGTTCGGCCATTTTGTTTTCATTTTCAGCTAAGAGGAATTGTGCGTCGTCCTTGGCTTAGACGTTGCGAGTCCGACTCGTAGTTCCAACATACCTCGATCGAAACCCGCTGCTGGCTGCGGGGATTTTTAACATCGGATGGGGAGTCGCAGGTCGATCCAGCCCAACATGTGTACCAAAATGGCTGTCCTGGGGAAGTAAAGACGGCCGGCGTAATGCTGACATTACCCAACTAGTGCCGATGGTCTGTAAAAAATATGGGTGCTTTCCCATATTCCCGATGCCCCTAAAGGCATGAAAAGGGATCTTGACTTTACTTACTTTAAGAACAATTTTAAATGAGGCATTAAGCACACAGTTCGTGTTTCGGTTGTGTCTGAAAAGGATATTATTTTCGGTTGTGTCTAAGAAGGTTATATGTTTCCATTGTATCTGAGAAGGCTAAATGTTTCGGTTGTGTCTGAGAAGGTTATGTTTCCGTTGTATCTGAGAAGGCTAAATGTTTCGGTTGTGTCTGAGAAGGCTAAATGTTTTCGGTCGTGTCTGAAAAGGTGATATGTTTCGGTCGTGTCTGAAAAGGTGATATGTTTCGGTCGTGTCTGAAAAGGTGATATGTTTCGGTCGTGTCTGAAAAGGTGATATGTTTCGGTCGTGTCTGAAAAGGTGATATGTTTCGGTTGTGTTTGAAAAGGTGATATGTTTCGGTCGTGTCTGAGAAGGTGATATGTTTCGGTCGTGTCTGAGAAAGTGATATGTTTCGGTCATGTCTGAGAAGGTGATATGTTTCGGTCGTGTCTGCGAAAGTGATATGTTTCGGTCGTGTCTGAGAAAGTGATATGTTTCGGTCGTGTCTGAGAAGGTGATATGTTTCGGTCGTGTCTGAGAAAGTGATATGTTTCGGTTGTGTCTGAGAAGGTGATATGTTTCGGTCGTGTCTGAGAAAGTGATATGTTTCGGTCGTGTCTGAGAAGGTGATATGTTTCGGTTGTGTCTGAGAAGGTGATATGTTTCGGTTGTGTCTGAGAAGGTGATATGTTTCGGTTGTGTCTGAGAAGGTGATATGTTTCGGTTGTGTCTGAGAAAGTGATATGTTTCGGTTGTGTCTGAGAAGGTGATATGTTTCGATTGTGTCTGAGAAGGTAATATGTTTCGGTTGTGTCTGGGAAAGTGATATGTTTCGGTCGTGTCTGAGAAGGTGATATGTTTCGGTCGTGTCTGAGAAGGCTAAATGTTTCGGTTGTGTCTGAGAAAGTGATATGTTTCGGTCGTGTCTGAGAAGGTGATATGTTTCGGTTGTGTCTGAGAAGGTGATATGTTTCGGTCGTATCTGAGAAGGTGATATGTTTCGGTTGTGTCTGAGAAGATGATATGTTTCGGTTGTGTCTGAGAAGGTGATATGTTTCGGTTGTGATGGAGAAGGTGATATGTTTCGGTTGTGTCTGAGAAGGTGATATGTTTCGGTTGTGATGGAGAAGGTGATATGTTTCGGTAGTGTCTGAGAAGGTGATATGTTTCGATTGTGATGGATAAGGTGATATGTTTCGGTAGTGTCTGAGAAAGTGATATGTGTCGGTCGTGTCTGAGAAGGTGATATGTGTCGGTCATGTCTGAGAAGGTGATATGTGTCGGTCATGTCTGAGAAGGTGATATGTTTCGGTCGTTTCTGAGAAGGTGATATGTGTCGGTCATGTCTGAGAAGGTGATATGTGTCGGTCATGTCTGAGAAGGTGATATGTTTCGGTCGTTTCTGAGAAGGTGATATGTTTCGGTCGTGTCTGAGAAGGTGATATGTTTCAGTCGTTTCTGAGAAGGTGATATGTGTCGGTCATGTCTGAGAAGGTGATATGTTTCGGTCTTGTCTGAGAAGGTGATATGTTTCAGTTGACTGCCCAAGTACCAGTGAGAAAATAGTTTACTTTTAATTATATATATCGTCATCAAATTGAATCGTGTGTAACACGTATGTGCGTGTCAGAGATGTGTGATGTGCTTGTAAGCCACTCCTTTTCCTAAAGTGTGCAAGTTTTTATGTATAATACTATATTCATATATTATATGTATAATAATTTGTATATAAAGTTTCCCTCTAGTTACGAGAGATGCGCGGGATGAGGAAGGCGAAGGAAAAGGGGAAGAAGCAGGAGAATGATAACTGTATGTTATTTATGAGACGATGTATGCTGGTCAACATCAGATGAAATATGTGACAAGACAGTTAGATGCCAGCACTGACCGTGCTGAGGGTTGGGTTGAATCTCGGATCACTCCTGGAATATAAGGGACTGTTGAAAGCTGCAACTCTGGCCCACTTGTCCGTGTAGTCGTAAGTCATCAAGTTGGCAAAATCCACAAATCTGAAAGCAGATGCAATTCGTGACTTTTTCCACCCAAATATGAGACAATTCCCCCCCCCCCCTCGAATAAAATATGCGACTATTTATCCCCCAAATATTACATTATTCCCCCCCCCCCCCCCACTTGAATAAAATATGCGACTATTTATCCCACAAATATTACATTCCCCCCCCCCCCCCCACCCCCACTATGAGTGTTTTCCCTCTAAATATGAGACAATCCCTAACCCACCCCAAGTGAGACTATCACTCTCCCCTAACCCACCCCAAGTGAGACTATCACTCTCCCCTAACCCACCCCAAGTGAGACTATCACTCTCCCCTAACCCACCCCAAGTGAGACTATCACTCTCCCCTAACCCACCCCAAGTGAGACTATCACTCTCCCCTAACCCACCCCAAGTGAGACTATCACTCTCCCCTAACCCACCCCAAGTGAGACTATCACTCTCCCCTAACCCACCCCAAGTGAGACTATCACTCTCCCCTAACCCACGCCAAGTGAGACTATCACTCTCCCCTAACCCACCCCAAGTGAGACTATCACTCTCCCCTAACCCACCCAAGTGAGACTATCACTCTCCCCTAACCCACCCCAATTGAGACTATCACTCTCCCCTAACCCACCCCAAGTGAAACTATCACTCTGCCCTTCACCACCACAAATATGAAAATATTTTGCCGCCAATTATGAGGCAGTTGTCCCCCCTCCCTCTCCCACTTCCACAATGTGAGACGTCTGCAGTACATTTGTGTCTTTACATCTCTCTTAGGGAATCTCTCCAGTGTGGCTCTATTCCTTTCCGTAGCTCTACTCTTGCACCACTTTCAGAAAGCTTCGAGAACAGGTCTTTTTCCTAAATTGAACCACCCTAATAGTAAATCTAGAATGACGAAATACGTACCCTAATCTTTAGATGACTTAGTCGTACATACATTGGACTCTCAGATGGAACACGATATCTGCGTCTTTCTACCCAACACATCGGATATCAGCAAATCCCTATATTGTTGCCTTTTAGGACATGCTTTTTAGGGAAAGAGGGTCTATATTTTTTTCACATCTTATCAAGTTATTATGTACACGTTTACCACTAATAATATAGTAATAAAGTAGTTTTTTTACATTTGGATTGTACATCATTCGCATCATAAATTAAGTTAGCTGGCTGGCAAAGTTCTGTCTTTCCGAACAATAGTATTATATTGCGATATAGGAATGCATAGTACCCACAGTCCATGGCGATGGCGAGTGTGTCTGGCAAGACCCGCTCGTGTTAGGATAGGTCTTCTACCATCAGAGCATGGGATTTCAGGGTCATTTATCTCATTCCATTTTTTTGTTGTGCTTCTTCTCAGACACTTACTGTGTAATCTATCTGTTATCATTTGTTCCTTCATATCACTTCTATTGTTCTCCCTCCACACGGTCCATGGCATCCCCCCCCCCCCCCCCACGAAACTCTCATTACCTGCATCATTCATGTCCTGCTTGTACACATTGTTATATTATAGCAGACAGATGCTGACATCGCCATCTTCTTATTATTTATAATTCACTGTAGAGCATGAACATAGGAACTGTACCATCCTCTATTCTCTAAGGGTGACCCAGCCACCTGAGGCTGCAGTACAGCATGAACATAGGGAATGTTTCATCTTCCATTCTTCAAGCCTGGCCCAGCCACCTGAAGATACAGTAGAGCATGAACATAGGGAATGCACCATCTTCCATTCTCTAAGGGTGACCCAGCCACCTGAGGCTGCAGTACAGCATGAACATAGGGAATGCTCCGTCCTCCATTTTTCAAGCGTGGCCCATCTACACGAGGCTTCAGAAACTGAGCATTGAGAAACTTTTGAAATGTTGTTATCTTGTCTTGTCACTTAACAACATTCACATTTATCAACTCAAAAATGTATCTGCTGTATTTGGTCAAACATGTAATCACTATTACTTTTGTAGAGGCCACATAAGGCCCTAAAGCCGAGGTTCCCCACCCGTGCTTTTAGACGATGACCACCTTACCTGGCTATCGCCTGGACATCGTATCCCGGGTCAATGTTCCACTGACCAGCAGCCCCGGCAAAGGTGAGCAGTAATCTGGGCTGGCGTGTGTCATTGTCGAAGGCTTTTCTCAACGCCTGAATGGACAGGTCAGACTTTACTATTACGTCTATGTATTGATAAATGTAACACAAAGAGACAGATCAGAAATGACCATATCAGAAAACAAGTTGGGACACAACCAGTGCTAATCTTCATCAAGAGAAAGCAGATCAGCTAGTTCAGAGATGTGTTTAGACTAGCACAGAAGAGAACTAGGGAAGAAGAGAGCAAGAACTATGTTATAACAACTGAATACAGGACGAATAAATTGTGACGAATACTCGGTGTTCAAATAAATTCATAGATAGATACGAAAAAAGATGCACATATATATACTATATGGATGTACATCAAACATCATGCAAAGACAGACATGTTAGGTAAAACAAAAAAGAAAAACTGACAGACAGACAGACAGGTTTAGTAAAATGTATCAGACAGACAGACAGACAGACAGACAGACAGACAGACAGACAGACAGACAGACAGACAGACAGACAGACAGACAGACAGACAGACAGACAGACAGACAGACAGACAGACAGACAGACAGACAGACAGACAGACAGACAGACAGACAGACAGACAGACAGACAGACAGACAGACAGACAGACAGACAGACAGACAGACAGACAGACAGACAGACAGACAGACAGACAGGTTTAGTAAAACGATTGAAAGAATTGGCAGTCAGACAGACATGCAGATTTTGTAAATAGGATGGGGAAAATGGGGAGCCAGGCAGACAGGTGGGGAAAAGGGGGCGGGGTGTAGGACAGACAGGCAGGCAGACAGGTTTAGTCAAACAGATAAAAGAACAGACAGATTTACTGTGACTATGAATATGATAATGATGACTGTGATGAAGACGGTCACGATAATAATGGTATTGATAGTATTATTCTGGATGTTGAACCTGATACTGCTTTTCATGATAATGGAATCGTTTATGCCTAATATGTTGACAATACCAATGTTGATATTACTGACGATGACAATGATGATGGTAATAAAAACGATCAAGGTGACAGCAGCAGCGATGTCTACGAACCTGTAGCAACCGAATGAACAAGAACCTGGTGTCCGCGTCAGGATACTCCCAGTCGAGGTCAAGACCATCAAAACCTCGAGCCCTCAAAAAGTCCACAGTCGTAGCTGCAAACCTCTCAAGTATGGCGTCTGTCTCGGCCACGGCCTTGAACCCTGTCCCATGATCGTTCTGACCACCAATGGAAATCAAGGTCTTCAGTGCAGGGTTACGGCTTTTCAGCCCGTTAAAAAGGCTATTAAACAAACAAACAAAAAACAAAATAATTATGGTGACCATACGTCCCGTAGTCAGCGGGACAGTACCGTGTTTTAGGCGTGCTCCGACTGTCTCGTCGGTAACAAGCAAACAACAGAAATTGTCCTGCTTTATAAAAATCTTCAAATAAGTTTGAGAGGAAAACATTTATATATAGTTTTATCTGTAAGCCGTGTTAATTTCACAGGGTTAGATACTTTTAATGCTTGAAAAGCCTTGATGAAAGTTACCAACCCCTACCCCCGCTTCTTAAACTTCTCCCATAATTAGTTAATTTTTTTGGTGACGTCAATGGGGCAGATTTTCATATTAATGTCAAGCGAGTTATTAACCCTCAAGACGCCGGTGGCCTAAAAAATTGAGGTTTTTGAAAATAAAAAGGGGAAGGTGGGGGTTTTACTTGCTTGTTTTTATTTTAAACTATTTGTGGGATTTCCCGTTTTGAGCTCAATATATTTTGGGTGCTTCAGTAACAATAAAGGAACTTTTGACAAACGATTTCACGAGATATATGTGGGAGCTAACTCGTCCTCACCGAAATGGCATGGATTCTTGAAATTGTCTGTAAGGAACTTGATATCCAGTTTGTACCCCAGCGTAAAACTGTTGTTTTGCAATAATTGCAGTGGCTGATTTTGGCGCTTTTGGATTTTTTTTTTTTTTTTGCCGTTTCGCGTAGGATAATGTGGGAGTAACATCAATCCTTTAAAGCACATATGCACTTTGGAAACGTAAAGTTATGGCCGGGGCAGGTCTGCACCCTGAGCTTTTGTTGGCAGCTGCTTTTAGAATAGAGACTCCGGTTGGCAGACAGAGGATTCCTCATTCGTGTGTATGTATGTGCGTATGTGTGTGTGTATATATATGTGTGTGAATAAGTGTATTTGTATGTTGATCTGACTTTTTTTTTTTTTTACACTGTGGGTTCCAGCGACCCCAGCGAAACATGAACAAGTCAAATAAAGAGCGTCATAGTATATTACCTGAATAGCTTCCCTTCTCCCTCTTCTTCTTGTGGCTCACTGGCCGCCAGTTGTCGCAATACTGGGTCCAGTCGTCCAAAGGCGTAGATAAGGTGGGTACATATGTTAGGGTCAATATTGGCCACTTCAAATTTTGCAATGTTACCCCTGTACCTCGCCCATGTTGGAAAGTAGCACACGGTGACAAACTCCCCTGGCGGACCTGGGGAAGGTAAGGAGTTAATTTGTGGGTTTAGCACAACAACCAGCACACTTGCCTGTCTGATTACATTGTGTGTGTGTTATTAGACCATACGTCTTCTCATGCTTTAACGTATAATATAATTGTTTACCATATGCTTTCTCGTAATTTAGAGTGTAATATCATTGTTTATCATAGGTATTCTCATACTTTAATGTATATTATCACTGTTTACCATAGGTATTCTCAAACTTTAGTGTATGATAATATTGTTCACCATATGTATTCTAATACTTTAGTGTATTCTTCTTCTTCTTCTTCTTCTTTCGTTCGCATGAAATAAATTGTCTATATCTGCAAAGCTGTCTCTAGTATGAATTTCACTGTCTTTTGTAATTCACTAAGCGGCCCGTAAAGTTTGACTTCCACAAGTGTCTCTTTTGGCCAAAGGTTTTGCCTGAAAGCGTTGAATCTGGGACAGCCTTGAAGGATGTAATCTGTTGTTTCAGGTGCCAGTCCACAAGTACACATGGCTGATTGGCCAATCTTACATTTGTTGTACATGTGGGAGCGAAGTCGATTGTGCCCTGTTCTAAGGCGAAGGATAATGACTTGCTCTGGTCTGTCCATAATATGGTAATCATCTTGTGCCAGTTTCGGTGGCATTCTGATTGATTTGATCATTCTCTGTTGATAAGAGACTGGTATGTCAGGTTGTTCTTCAGTTGCACTTTCCTTAGCTAGTTTATCAGCTTTTTCGTTTCCGGGAACTCCACAGTGGGAAGGTATCCACTGCATTACTAATTTACAGACTTTAGTGTATGAAATCCATGTTTACCATAAGTATTCAAAAATGCTTAACTATTCAGTTTCGTCCTTTTTAGGACGAAATTTGTTGTCATTTGAAGCCCCACCCTGGTTTTGCAAGGGGCCGCAATATAGGCAGGCCATAAATATGGCCAATTGTCTGTACGAGGTTTCTGGGACCTCTCCACGGCGATCCTCATCCACGTGGTGGCACTTTGTGTCATCGGGTGTTTATCGACTTGTGTGATGTCCTAGTGGGGTAGAAAGTCAAGTCAAGTCGTGTATTCAAATACTCAAACTTCATTTAAATCATTTAATCATATGTTTTCTCGTCATTATCCGATGGCATTACGAAGACCTATAGACGGAAGTGGCTGGGGCATATTCTGATAAAATCAGATACAAAAGAGGTCAAGGCTGTGTACACAAGGGGGTTAAATGATCGTAGACGATGAGGCAGACTAAGAAGACGATGGTTAGATAATATCCAGGCAGACCTACAAATACTAAGTGTCACCAACTGCACAGAGAGGACTATAACAGAGATGAATGGAAGCGCCTGATAAGGTAAACCTCAATGGCTCAGAATGCAGACGAAATAGAAGAAAATGAATCTCCTTAGACTCTAGCGTATGATTATTGTCCACCATATCTCATAATTTAGTGTTTGACTTTATTGTTTACCATAGGTCTTCTCGCAATTTAGTGTCCGATTTCATTGTTTAACTTTTTTTTTTTTTTTTTTTTACGTATGATATCATTATTTACCACAGATAATTTGGTAATTTTAATTTCAGCTTCATAGCAAACGGGTCACCCCATCCTTGCTCCGCTCCTGTGCCAACGAAAACACATAGAATGTTTATCACAGTCCCTTGTGGGAAGACTGAAAAACTGCTCTCTCAGCAAATCTAGCATACACTCGCATTAAAAGCATATGGTAGCCATCCGAAGTGCTAACAGAAACAGTCTAACGTTAGAAATGCAGTTCATCATTGATGGTAGCAGAAGTCATTAAAAGATCAGCAGTTGCACACGCGATCAATTTTAATCAAATAATGGTCCCAACAATGTTGCGACAACCGGCATTGCGCCATTTTCTGAATCTACAAATCACACCACCACGTTGTTCAGTCGAAAAACATTCCAAATAACATCCGCAGCTCACAGTGTCACGCTATGCACTCAATCAGAGGCTGGGCAACGAAACTATATACTTCAGTCTACAAATGGAGCAAAAAAAGCAAAGGCCACAGTCTGGCAGAAGGAAAATATTTTTGCCCCGGCACAAAAGAGTGGCAGTGCCTAGTGTCCATCTGGACCTGAAGCAATATGTGAGGGTTGATAAACGGTCACCCCAGCAGTACTCTCACTATTAGCTGGAGAAAGGATTTAGGACATTACATCCACCAGCAAGCCTCGCCCCAACAACAATTTACCATAGATCTAACGTTAGTGTATGACATCATAACTTAACATACATCTTCTCATATTTTAGAGTATGATATCATTGTTTTTCATACGTCTTTTCATACTTTGGTGTATGATTTCCTTGTTTACCATAAGTCCTCCTATCATTTACTAAATGATATCATTGTTTACCATTGTCTTTTCCAACTTTAGTGTATAATTTCATTGTTTATTATAGGTCATCTCATGCTCTAATGTACAATCTAGGTATCTGAAGTGTCTGTTGTACGTCTTCTCATAGTTTAATGTATTATTTCATTGCGTACGATTCGTCTTCGCATATTGTAGTGCATGAATTAATTGTCCATCGCACATCTTCTAATTGATTCTCATAATTAGTGTACTATTTAACTGTCTACCCTACATCTTGTCATACAGAAGTGTATGATTTCATTGTGTTACATATGTCTTGTTACACATAGAGTATCTTTTAATCTGTTAATAGTGTACCATATGCCTACTTATTCATTTATTGATAAATGCAATGTCCGTTTTCTGTTACTTCAATTTCTAGCAACTAGTAGGTCAAGGTGTCTGTGCAAGATTTAGACTTGTGTACGGTTCTAATCAATTTAGGTCGTATATACAGAGACTGGCCAGCTGGCGCTGCAGAATCAGGAGTTCAACAAATGATGCATGACAATTTCTCTGGGAGCGAGCGAGCAGTGCGGAGGCACGGATAGATCATTACAGTCCAAGGAGATGGCGCTGCAAGGATCTGCCAGACACTGAGGGGAAGGGCGAGACAATCAGACAATTACTGGTAAAATCAGAATTGCAACTCTTCGTTTGCAGCTGAAGCTGGGGGATGGAGCGTTAATGGGGGTGTCCCAGGTGTTGCGATTTCGATTCTTAATTCAACATTAAACTTGGTGACTACCAACTATCTTTTCATCATTTTGTGTACTGTTTCATTTTGTGTTAAACATCTTTGCATACTTGTGTGTGTGTATGTGTGTGAGTGTGTGTGTGATTACATTTTAATGTATGGTTTACTTTCTTGCTCATCTGATAGCTTCATCCTTGAGAGAGTAGTCATCTAACAGCTTCATCCTTGAGAGAGTAGTCATCTAACAGCTTCATCCTTGAGAGAGTAGTCATCTAACAGCTTCATCCATGAGACAGTAGTCATCTGATAGCTTCATCTTTGAGAGAATAATCTACTAGCTTCATCCTTGAGAGAGCAGTCATCTAATAGCTTCATCCTTGAGAGAGTAGTCATCTGATAGCTTCCTCCTTGAGAGAGTAGGCAACTACTAGCTTCATTCTTTAGAGAGTAGTCATCTAAAAGCTTCATCCATGAAAGAGTAGTCATCTGATAGCTTCATCCTTAAGAGAGTAGTCATCTACTAGCTACAACCCTGAGGGAATAGTCATCTGATAGCTTCATCCTTAAGAGAGTAATCATCTGATAGCTTCATCCCTGAGAGAGTAGTCATCTGATAGCTTCATCCTTGAGAAAGTAGTCACCTAACAGCTTCATCCTTGAGAGAGTAGTTATCGGATAGCTTCATCCTTGAGAAAGTAGTTATATGATAGCTTCATCCTTGAGAAAGTAGTCATCTGATAGCTTTATCCTTGAGAAAGTAGACATCTGATAGCTTCATCCTTGAGAAAGTAGACATCTGATAGCTTTATCCTTGAGAAAGCAGACATCTGATAGCTTTATCCTTGAGAAAGTCGTCATCTGATAGCTTTATCCTTGAGAAAGTAGACATCTGATAGCTTTATCCTTGAGAAAGTAGACATCTGATAGCTTCATCCTTGAGAAAGTAGACATCCGATAGCTTCATCCTTGAGAAAGTAGTTATATGATAGCTTCATCCTTGAGAAAGTAGTCATCTGATAGCTTTATCCTTGAGAAAGTAGACATCTGATAGCTTCATCCTTGAGAAAGTAGACATCTGAAATCTTTATCCTTGAGAAAGTAGACATCTGATAGCTTTATCCTTGAGAAAGTAGTCATCTGATAGCTTTATCCTTGAGAAAGTAGACATCTGATAGCTTCATCCTTGAGAAAGTAGACATCTGATAGCTTTATCCTTGAGAAAGTAGACATCTGATAGCTTTATCCTTGAGAAAGTAGTCATCTGATAGCTTTATCCTTGAGAAAGTAGACATCTGATAGCTTTATCCTTGAGAAAGTAGACATCTGATAGCTTCATCCTTGAGAAAGTAGACATCCGATAGCTTCATCCTTGAGAAAGTAGTTATATGATAGCTTCATCCTTGAGAAAGTAGTCATCTGATAGCTTTATCCTTGAGAAAGTAGACATCTGATAGCTTCATTCTTGAGAAAGTAGACATCTGATAGCTTTATCCTTGAGAAAGTAGACATCTGATAGCTTTATCCTTGAGAAAGTAGTCATCTGAAAGCTTTATCCTAGAGAAAGTAGACATCTGATAGCTTTATCCTTGAGAAAGTAGACATCTGATAGCTTTATCCTTGAGAAAGTAGACATCTGATAGCTTTATCGATGAGAAAGTAGACATCTGATAGCTTTATCCTTGAGAAAGTAGTCATCTGGTAGCTTTATCCCTGAGAGAGAAGTCTTTAACTTGTGTTGACAATGGCAGTGAGGGAGCAGAGTGACGGACTGACTGAGTCGGCACATCTTGCGGAAATATTCCTGCCTTATAAGGTAGACATGGTTAGGGCCGCGTGGAAGCATGTGTTCAGTTCGGAGGAGGCAATGCATCATCACAGTGTGGTGAGCGTGATGCAGCGAGAAGTTTCTAGAGCATAAGGTCGATGCCAGACACTCAGAAGAAAGGCAAGACAGACACATATCCAGACTGCTACTGGTGCCATTGGTACTGGAAGGCTGCCATGGCTGCTGAGGATGGGGCTTATGGGGGTGTCCCAATGTGCCATAATGTCCGTTATTGAATCAACTAAACTCACCCAAGGGGAAAAGGCGTGTGTGGGGGTGGGGGTGGGGAGGGGTAGTCTGCGATCGAACCATTGCTCGATAGCTAGAACTCGACATTATCTGTCGATGTCTAGTGTTTTTAATGTCTTCAATCCATTTCCTCATTGGGCCACCTCTTGCGATCACATCAGATCTTTTCAGGGAAAGTGCTTGTGTTGATATTTGTCGTTGAGTTCTAACAAGATGGCCGAGCCATTTTATCTTTTCCTTGACAAATTATGTTATTCCCATACAGTAACAGTAACAAACATTAAACAAGTCACAATAGGCTGTCAGGATACATGGTTATAATATTTAATGGGTTATTTAAGCGGACTTGTAGGTTCAAACAAGAGCGTTAGTTATTCTTGCCAACTTGATCACACCAACAATCAAAATGATCATCAAGAAATGTTAGTTTTTCTGTTTGTCATCAAGCCAATTTGATTACATCAAAATTCGAAACAGTGGAAACAAATGTTAGTTATTCTATCTGTTATCAAATCAGCTTGAGCAAATAAAATATCACGGCAGTTATCAAGATAGGTTAGATATTGTATCTGACACAAGCAGCTTTGAGTAAATCAAACATCAAAACAAGAATTCCGTCACGGTAGGTAATTCACCTGAGAGGAAAAACAAACTGTTTCTCAACAAACTGGCTAAACAATGGGAGGTGTTTTTTTTTTTTTTAATACTTTTATTTCTCTCTTCAACTGTCTATGGTCGACGACACCGGCCTAAATTAACAATGACACAAAAGATTCACAAAGAATCAGCGAACCAACAAACAAATAAACAAATCATTCATACAAACAGACCAAGAAACAATCATTCAGATAACTTAAAATAACGAATAATCAATAAAAGAATCATTTTTAAATACCAGCAATAAAACAAAGCAGCCGACCAACTATCCAAGGACCACAAGCCAGACAATAAACACCCAGGTCAGTCAATCATTAACATTCATAATGAAACATTAATTAATTCTAGTGTTGTTCAAGCAAATCCCTGTATCCGATTCTGAGGAGAGGCTTCAGAGAAGGTAATTTAATTTGGTGGCTAATTCTATTCTCACCGCTTTTCCTTTCCACACAAATCCTACACATTTCTAACATGTACAGCTCAATCAATGCTCGGTGCTCATTTTTATCTGGGTGGCAACTAGAGGACGAAAGAGAAGCTATGGACTTTTGTCACGTCCGGGCTGCTCTGGGTATATGGGGCTAGACCTGTATGTGTATACACCAGTCGGCACTTATTGGTGATGTAGTTATTAACACGCTAGCCGCCTTTATTGCCCAGGACATTACCCTGTACCTCGATGTCAATTTGAACTCTAAACCTTCAGGTCAGTAGGCGAGCATCTAGACTCTACACCACATCGGATACAACCAGAAGGTTGCAGTTGGCAATGACGTATTCTGGCTCAGAAAGAAAAGCCGAAGATGACAAGTTGTGCTGCTGGTAAAGGACAGTGGCGGACTGGCTTAGATGGTGAGGACCAAAAACGACGGTTGACAAGAGAACTTCTAGACTATACAGGCTGTACGTAAAATTGTGACAACAGAGATTAAATGCCTTAGAAGAGCTGCAGGAGTTTCAAGGAAAGACAGAATACGAAATCATGAAATCAGACGAATGCTAGGAATAAAGCCAGTCTTACAGGTCATCAAAGAACAACAAATGAAGTGGTTTGGACACCTAACAAGAATGCCCTGGTACTATCTGCCATAGCGAGATACACTAAATCGTTACAACGTGTATAGAGCTAGTGGAAGACCTCGGAAATATAGAGTGATGGCATTAAGAAACAGCCTTGCAGAAATGAACAGCAGTCTTAATAGTGCTCTTGACAGAGCTCATCAACGAACATTACATCTCCCCCCGACACTTCGATGAGGTACAAGGTGGAAGAGAAGAAGAAGAAGAAGAAGAAGAAGAAGAAGAAGAAGAAGAAGAAGAAGAAGAAGAAGAAGAAGAAGAAGAAGAAGAAGAAGAAGAAGAAGAAGAAGAAGAAGAAGAAGAAAAAGAAGAAGAAGGCCTGAACAAATGTTATGCATTGAACTGATGCAGCTCAACATGGACTTTGACTTGTGGAGAGACATGAACGCTTAGTCTCTTGGCAACCACTGATGATGATGGCGATGATGATGATGATGATGCTAATTATGATGGTGATTAATAAGCGACCACGATGATGATAATGTTGATCAAGTTATTATCATCTTCATTATCATCAGTATAAAAGAGATAATAATATACAATAAATGAATTATAAAACTAAAACGAATACAAGAGATAAAAAGACTATTTCAACAATACAAGCTCGTGAATAGGCACTGTGGAACTCGGTACCTCCTATTTTCCCTTGATATTGTCGAAAACATGCAAGCTGACGAGTCATGTTATCTGTTATTCTGTCTTTGTGATAGTAGATCATATAGTTCTGGAGCTTAATGTCAATTGCCATACCCTAGATCGTGACACAATAACAAAAGACGTGTATGAAACTGTACGTTTCACAGTTCCATTGAAACTGCGTTTGGCTGTTGTGAGCTTATGCCTATGTGTGAGACATGAATCTGCACAAACACTAGAAGGACGGGGACCGAACCAGTTTTATTTAATTTTGTGCTAAGTAAAAATAAGAAGAATAGGTTTCGTTCTTATTCAAAGGATTTAGTTTTAACGGTAACAGTTGAGGTTTTTAGCAATTACAGATCTGTGTGTGTATGTGTGTGTGTTTGTGTGTATGTCTTTATGTGTGTGTGTGTGCATTTTATCATGTTTATGTAAACATTATCATTCATGTTTTAGTGTTATACAATATTGAAACAATGACCAATTATTTAATGAAACAACAGCCCTGTAGAGCTACCAGCCACCACTGCATTTCACCATAGTGAAAACATGACGTGAATGTTTAGTAAAGCGGATATTGTTGTCAAAAGCAGGATAAATCGCAAGCTGTAGGGAATGGGGGTATCACTTCCATTACCGCTTGTTGTCTGTGGCACTGGTAAGGCTGTTGGTGTTGTAGTTGTTGGTTCTGTCTTGGACTTCACTAAATTCAACAGTGGGTACTTGCCGTCTCCGCAAAACTGGGAGACAAATCGTCATTATTAGTTACATCTTGCTTAACACATCAAATTGTTACATTCGTCAGAACTACAATTAGCAGAAGAGGTGGTGCCAGGAAAGAGGAGCAGACGCTGTCCAGTACGAAGATAGGCCCAGGATAAAATAGAGACTTTTGGGAAGGAAACTGCATGAGGAGAGAGAGAGAGACCTGGATAAAGACTGTGTTAATTTCAGACAGGCTGTGATGGGAGCGACGTTCTGCATAGGATCTGCTACATGATGGTCATGTGTAAACCCTTATTGAATTCGTTTCGTAATGGTTGAATCTTCCCCACACAAAAAACATAAGTTTAACTCGCTTTTTAACAGATTGCCTAAATTTGCATAAATTAATTTATGGGTAAATTCTTCCACACTACAGAAGCTATTTTAAGTATTAGCGGCATATGATGCCATACACACACATGGACACACACAAATATGTATACATTTACACATGGACTTTCATTTTGCTCCTTTCATTTACTCCTGGAATACCTTGCAGCGTCAAGGCAATTATTATAATTCAACCTAATACAAACCATGATGAAGATGGAGGCTAGGTGGCAGAGCGGTCAAGCTGTTTGCCCTCCGCTCCAATTATCGTGGGTTCGATTTAAAAATGCGTCGTTCGGTGCATGAGTTCAGTTATACTGTGCGAGATGGTGAGGAGATCGTCCGGAATCGTCTCTGAGCAACGAAGTTCGTACTTTGTGAGACGCTCTCGGCAGGCGGCTAGCCGTTGTGTGGATAAAGACTGTGTTATGTGGGATAACCAGGTGCAATGAAGTCTATCCTCTCGACATTACGTTAGAGACTAAGGTAGCATTAGATGGAGGAAAACTCACCTGACCAGTGAAATCGTCCTGGTCCAGCGACCAAAACATCAGTCCTGCAACACCGAGGCCCGTCATCCACTGCAGCTACACACGTGGAAGAGAATCAGACACCTCAAGATTACATGCTGGGTTATTGCTGAGGATAACGAAGTGCTGCTCTCCAGAGGCACTTAACAACGAAACTAACACGGCACGTATATACCACCCAGATACAAGATTTACACATGTATTGAATATTCCTTTCAAGAATAAGACGGATCAGTAGACAGATGGGAAGATAAAAACGACTATGATGATGATGATGACGATGATAACGATAATAAAATGATAATTATGATGATGATGATGATGACGATAATAACAGGGATAATTATGATGATGATCATCATGACGATGATGATGATAACGATGATCATGATGATCATCATGACGATGATGATGATGATGACGACGACGATGATGATCATGATGATGATGACGATGATGATGATGATGACGACGACGATGATGATAATGATGATAATGATGACGATGATCATGACGATGATGATGATAATGATCATGAAGATGATGATGATGATAACGATGATCACGATGATGATGATGATGACAACGGTGATGATGATGATCAAGGATTAGAGGGAGAAGCAGGAAAAGAAGACGAAAAGGAAAGAGTAATACGAGTAGAAAAATGAAGAGGTGCAGTATAAAACATACAAGAATAGAAAATAAAATAAATAGAAAATGAAGACAGGAGAAGGGTGATAATTAAATGCCGTTTATGTCACCTTGAATCTGGCTTTTATCAAACAAATACCCAGTGAGTGACGATCAAACTGGCAATGAAATGTCGATCAGACACACTCGTCGACTCTCAACCTTGACGTCGAGACAGACACACTCGTCGACTCTCACCTTGATGTCTTGACAGACACACTCGTCGACTCTCACCCTGATGTCAAGACAGACACACTCGTCGACTCTCACCTTGTTGTCAAGACAGACACACTCGTCGACTCTCACCTTGTTGTCAAGACAGACACACTCGTCGACTCTCACCTTGTTGTCAAGACAGACATAATCGTCGACTCTCAACAAGATGTCGCGACAGACACACTCGTCGACTCTCAACCAGATGTCAAGACAGACACACTCGTCGACTCTCACCTTGTTGTCAAGACAGACACACTCGTCGGCTCTCAACCAGATGTCGCGACAGACACACTCGTCGACTCTCAACCAGATGTCGAGACAGACACACTCGTCGACTCTCACCTTGATGTAAAGACAGACACACTTGTCACACTTGTCGACTCTCACCTTGATGTCAAGGCAGACACACTCTTCGACTCTCACCCTGATGTCTGGACAAACAAACTCGTCGACTCTCACCTTGATGTAAATACAGACACACTTGTCGACTCTCAATTTGATGTCTAGTCAGAAACACTCGTCGACTCTCACCTTGATGTCTAGACAGACACACACGTTGACCCTCATCTTGATGTCTAAACAGACACACTCGTCGACTGTCACCTTGTTGTCAAGACAGACACACTCGTCGACTCTCACCTTGATGTCCAGATAGAAACACTCGTCGACTCTCACCCTGATGTCTAGACAAACACACTCGTCGACCCTCATCCTGATGTCAAGACAGACACACTCGTCGACTCTCACCTTAATGTCTAGACAGTCACACTCATCGACTCTCACCTTGATGTCAAGACAGACACACTCATCGACTCTCACCTTGATGTCAAGACAGACACACTCGTCGACTCTCACCTTAATGTCTAGACAGTCACACTCATCGACTCTCACCTTGATGTCAAGACAGACACACTCATCGACTCTCACCTTGATGTCAAGACAGACACACTCGTCGACTTTCACCCTAATGTCTAGACAGTCACACTCATCGACTCTCACCCTGTGTCTAGACAGACACACCCGTCGACTCTCACCTTAATGTCTAGACAGACACACTCATCGACTCTCACCTTGATGTCAAGACAAACACACTCATCGACTCTCACCTTGATGTCAAGACAGACACACCTGTCGACTCTCACCTTGATGTCAAGACAGACACACCCGTCGACTCTCACCTTAATTTCTAGACAGACACACTCGTCGACTCTCACCTTGATGTCAAGACAGACATACTCATCGACTCTCACCTTGATTTAAAGACAGACACACTCATCGACTCTCACCTTGATGTCAAGACAGACACACTCATCAACTCTCACCTTGATGTAAAGACAAACACACTCATCGACTCTCACCTTAATGTCTAGACAGACACACTCGTCGACTCTCACCTTGATGTCTAGACAGTCACACTCGTCGACTATTACCTTGATGTAAAGACAGACACAGTCATCTACTCTCACCTTGATGTAAAGACAGACACACTCGTCGACCCTCACCTTAATGTCTAGACAGACACACTCGTCGACTCTCACCTTAATGTCTAGACAGTCACACTCGTCGACTCTCACCCTGATGTCAAGACAAACACACTCATCGACTCTCACCTTGATGTCAAGACTCTCCTTATCCTCGTATCCCACCCAGTTGTCCCCGTTTACCAAATAGGGATTCTTTTGTTCTTGATCAAATGTTCTTTTTGTGGATGTGTTCTTTAACAGCTCGCAAATCTATACATAATCAAAACGATAAATATGAAATATGTTTAGCCTCATACGGGTTGTGCTGTGTTATGTCATCTCAACTGCGTTATTGCACATTTGGGCATTCCCACTGTGCTCAGTCCTACGATACAGCAGCCGCTTCGGGCCTCTTCTACTGACTGTTCCCAAGAGAAATAGGGCATACTGATTGTCCTGTTGTGCTGTTGTATGTCACATTGGGGTTCCAGTCTATTCCTTCACTCTGTTCTATCGTGTGCAATCGCGTCAATATCATGGATAAACTCTAATCCAACAGCTTTGGCCTCTCTCTTCAACGTTTTTCTTAGGGTTTCTTTTGGGGGTCCTCGCCTCTTGAATCACTTTATTTACCACGTGAATACCTGTTTGGTGATTTATTGTTGGTTTCTTCCCATGATGTGACCAACACGGGATATATTGGAATATCAAGGGTTCTAGACCCTAATGTTTAAGGTAAGGATGTCGAGTTTCTTTCCTAATTGCTTTTTCTTCCCCGGGAACTACCAGATCATTGTGGAAAGTAAACGTGGTCGATATCAACCACCAAGTATTTATTGGTCTACTGGAGTAAGGCACTTGCACCATAAACCTATTGTCGCGCCCAGCGTAGACGTGAAAGCTTCTTCTACTGACACTGTCTATCAGTTTACTCAGTAACATAAACAACGTTCATAAATCTAGCTTAAACTAGTTAAGCTCAGGCAGGCTATAGTATTGACTAATCTATGCCTAGATTTCTTGGCTAAAGCGGACGTCTAAATACCTGAATTATTCTTATCAGAGTTTGTTAACCCTTCCCAGCCCCATCGACCTCTCGCCCTCCCAAGGTCATTGTGCTTACTGACGTCCTTCCCCCTAGTTCGTTATTTTATAGCTGGCTACCCCCTCCTCCCCCCCCCCCCATCCCCCAACCACTCTTCTTTTTGCCTTCAATCAGTGGACTGATAAATGGTTAAACCCCTGCACTAATCAGTGGACTGAGAAATGGTTAAACCCGCTCATCAATCAGTGGACTGACAAATGGTTAAACCCCCTCACCAATCAGTGGACTAACAAATGGTTTAACCCCCTCACCAATCAGTGGACTGATAAATGGTTAAACCCCTGCACTAATCAGTGGACTGAGAAATGGTTAAACCCGCTCATCAATCAGTGGACTGACAAATGGTTAAAACCCCTCACCAATCAGTGGACTGACAAATGGTTAAACCCGCTCATCGATCAGTGGACTGTCAAATGGTTAAACCCTCTCATCAATCAGTGGACTGACAAATGGTTAAACCCCCTCACCAATCAGTGGACTGACAAATGGTTTAACCCCCTCACCAATTAATGGACTGATAAATGGTTAAACCCCTGCACTAATCAGTGGACTGAGAAATGGTTAAACCCGCTCATCAATCAGTGGACTGACAAATGGTTAAACCTGCTCATCAATCAGTGGACTGACAAATGGTTAAACCCGCTCATCAATCAGTGGACTGACATATGGTTAAACCCCCTCATCAATCAGTGGACTGAGCAATGGGTAAACCCTCTCAGCAATCAATGTACTGACAGATAGTTAAACGCTGTCACCAATCAATGTACTGGCAGATGGTTTAATCCCTTCACAAATCAGTGTACTGACAGATGGTTAAACCCTCTAAGCGGCGGACTGACAGTTGGTGATAACCCCCCCCCCCCCCCTTTTCCCATTCTTTCAAGTCAATAACAATCTCAGTGGTAAAGATATTTCGAAATATTTTAGTCATATCAATCAACAAGTTGGATTGGAAAGATTGGTGTCAGAAGACATGGTGCCAGTAGAGAGGGGTAGGGACTAACTAGTAGGAAGATGGGCACAGGATATATAAGTGACACTTTAGGTAGGGAATTGCACGAAACAAGAGATTCGGCGAGAGACGGTTTTTATTTTATTTTTTTTATTATTATTTTTTTTTTTTTTTTTTTTTTTATCAGGCATGCTGTCATCAGATGACGTTCTGCAAAGGATCTGCCGCATGATGATGATGATAAAGATAACTGCGAAATACCTCAGGGTATGCCAGGCCGTTGTCTAGCTGATAGTTTGGTCCTTTCCTGACTTCACCCGTCGCATTAGAGCCAGGCGCAGCAGCCATGACGTCCTGTAGCACCATCCTGCGACCAACTCCTGTGACACCCACAAGGATTTTGTTGAATGGCATCCCCAAGCTGTTCCAGTAATGAACTGTCCAGTTCTGGGTTAGCAATGAAAAATACAATTTAAAACTGTCGCAAAGTTACATATCATTCATTATACTATGAGTTATAACAGTTAAGGGTACTAATCACAGAATTCGCTCGGGAGCCACCAATCGGGCAGTTTTATGTACTAGAGGTGTTATGAGATGCCTTCCCTTCCCGTATGTACACACTGCGGCAAAAACTGGCTCACGTTCATTCGACGCGATCGATACATTGTCTTCTGTAGTGAACCATTTTCTCCATAATAAATTATGTTAAAATATTAATGACGTCAGGTAATTAATATAAATGAGATATTTGAACATGTTTGAGTTTGTGTGTTAAGGAGAATTGTCATTTTCAGCTGCCGTTGTGTAAATGGAGGTATGTTTATTCGATAAAGGTAACGTTGACTAAATTCAGTGAATTATAAATCTAGATTTATACCTCACCATGTACTGGCCACAGAACCAGTAAGTGAATGAACATTAAAGATAGACATCGCATTCTGTTGTTCAATTTCGTACATCTTTCACCTGTTGAGTTAGGTGTCAGTGCACGAGTGAGAAGTTTGCAAGCGACTGGAGCCAAACTGTCAGTGCACGAGTGAGAAGTCTGCAAGCGACTGGAGCCAAACTGTCAGTGCACGAGTGAGAAGTCTGCAAGCGACTGGAGCCAAACTGTCAGTGCACGAGTAAGAAGTCTGCAAGCGACTGGAGCCAAACTGTCAGTGCACGAGTGAGAAGTCTGCAAGCGACTGGAGCCAACTGAATGTAAGGAGAGTCATTGCATCTTTCTTTGAAACTGCTCAGCTTTCTTGTCGAAACTGACTTTTCTGTTTACGTCTTTGATTTTTCGAACGTGTTGTTGTGAGCGGTAGCTGTATTAATAGTGGGTGGGCTTGAAACGACCAAAACAAGCAACACTTGACACCCCTAGAACATAGAAAATCTAATGGGAACGAATACAAAAAGATGTAGTTTCGTAACAATAAAGGGGAGAAAATTACAGTAAACCCTCCTTAATACTAGTTCTAAGGAATCAAAATCAAGCTCGTGGTTAAAAACAAAAAACAAAATCGTGCTTATCGCTGACTAACAGCAGAAATACTTCCTTGCTGGTACCACAATGTTTTCATGATAACCGGGCTTCTTAGGTCATCAGTTCTCGTTATGCCTAGTGGCACATGAGGCTTCAGAGAGGACTTTCCATGCTTTCCTGTCCGGTGCAATCTTCAGTGCAGTATTCCATGTCAAAGATGCCGCACTCAGGTCACTTTCCATCGTTCGTCTCCATGTTGTTTTTGGGCGCCCCTGTTTTCTCTTTCCCTCTGGTGTCCATGTGAGAGCTGTTTTGGCAGGTATATCAGAAGTCATTCTCATAACGTGGCCAAGCCATTTCCATCTTCTCTTGGTAATCATACTGTCTAAAGTTTCTTGGTTTGTGGCTTGAAGTAGTTTAGTGTTTGAGATTGTCTCTGGCCAGAAAATTTTGATAATTCTACTTAGACATGTGTGGTAGAAGGTGGACAGCTTGTGTGCATCCTTTTTGGTCATTCTCCAGCATTCCGCTCCATAAAGAAGAACTGGCAAAATGATGCTCTTGTAGAGTCGGAGTTTTGTTCCTCTGCAGTAATTGTTGGATTTCCAGATTTGCCCCATCCTTCCAAAAGCAGCTCTAGCTTTGTTCAGGCGTGACTGTATGTCTTCCTCTGTCCCTCCCAGTAGGGACACTACACTACCAAAAATGTGAAATGTTCTACATTTTCAAGTGATTGGTTATTTATGGTCACTGGTTGTTGGTTTGGACTGTTTGTCATGATCTTAGTTTTCTTTGTATTTATTCTCAGTCCCACTATTTCTGCTGTGCAGTTTAGTCTGTTACTTTTCTCTTGTATATGTTCATGTTTATGTGATAGGAGTGCTATATCATCTGCGAAATCAAGGTCCTCAAGAAGGTGAATGGAGTCCATCGTATGCCTCTTAATGTTCTGTCTACTGTGTTCTTTAGTATCCAATCAATCACAAGGTTGAAGAGGAGAGATGACATAACACATCCCTGTCTTACACCCGTCTTTACTGGGAAAGATGTATTGTAATTTTTTTATACTGGAGGAAAAGTATTTATAGAAGAGAGCAATTATGTTGACTATTTTTTCTGGAATTCCATAACGTCGTAAAATTTTCCACAGACCGTCTCTATGGACGCTGTCAAAAGCTTTCTCAAAGTCAACAAAATTTATATATATATATATATATATATATATATATATATATATATATATATATATATATATATATATATATATATATATATATATATATTTCTCTGCCATTCGTTTTAGAACAATGCAACGAATGGGGCTTCTTAGGTGAGCTTGTTTTCATAAGGTTTTATTGCACTGACCTAACATAACTCTTGACCCTTTAAGAGAGTGGATGTATGACAGTGGAAGCATTACCACACAAACCAGTCATATTTCTCCGTCTTCCACTTGTTGAACAAGTCTAAGTCTATAGTCATTGAGTCCTGTCCGCTTCTTGATGTTGCGTTTACTCAAAAAGCGTAATCACAGCACTCGGGGCATTCTCATAAGCGCTCCGTCCCTATCTTCAGCAACAAACGCAGATTTTTAATATCAGTGGCGCCAGTAGAAGTCTGATTTTATTTCTGTCTTGCCTTTTCTCTGGCCGTCGAGCATGGGCAAGATCCCCTCGTCACTCCTCGCTACATCATTCTCACCAGACTGTGAGGGTTCCGTTTGCTGTTCTGAATTATACGCGTGCTCCCATAAGACTCTAACCACATTTACATTAGCATACGTCAGTATTCACAACTCAAACATAGGAACGGCCACGAAATCTCCAGTCCGAGCGAGATGGGGTGACTTTCGCGATTAATACCCTTAACTGATATAACTCATAGTTTACCTCGCTCCTGTTATGAATGACTAAGCCCACAAAAACATTGTTAAAGAGAGCCTGAACCCATAAGAAAGTGGTTAAAGAGAGACTGAGCCCCTAACAATAATGTAAAAGGAAGACTGAGTGTCGCGTGCGGATGTGCACCAGAACGCACCAGTACTGAGTGAGCAAATAAGACGTCAAAACAATACGTCAGGTTGTGAAGGAATTGTATTCTAGGATATGAAAGTTTGGTCCGGCCTTGGTGTGGATCCTTGAGGATGCTTTACCCCGGGATGCCACGGAAGGAATGTTAATCAGTTGGATCCTTGAGGATGCTTTACCCCGGGATGCCACGGAAGGAATGTTAATCAGTTGGATCCTTGAGGATGCTTTACCCCAGGATGCCACGGAAGGAATGTTAATCAGTTGGATCCTTGAGGATGCTTTACCCCGGGATGCCACTGAAGGAATGATAATTAAGTTGGATCCCTGAGGATGCTTTACCCCCGGATGCCATGGTAGGAGTTGATGTTTACAGTCCGAAGGAGACGGACGTGTTGATCCTTGAGAAGGCTTTACCCCGGGATCCCACGGAAGCAAACGTTGTATGAAGTTGGATCATTGAGGACGTTTTACCCCGGGACTCCACTGTAGACCTCAGCAGAAAGCTGGTATATTGTCACAGTTCGGCAGTAAGCCGGTAGACTTACGGACTGCGACCCGTCGTGAGGACATAGCAGTCTATGGATGTACGAGCGGGCTTTTGTTGATGTGTTTGAATGAGTCTGGATTATTAATTGCATATTTTCTCCTTGTGTTGATCATTGCTATTGTCAATACACAAATGGAACCTTTTAAAAGAGTTCTCGTTCCACTACGTTTGGAAGCTTCAGCATTCATCGTGTTGTGTTACTCTTGGCCAGTGGCATGTTAAGTGTTGATGCCATTTGTTGCATTGCGACGCCCCTAGTCACCGTTGGTACGGCGCACATCACCACGCAGCCTTTACAGCACGTCACACCGTAGGCCCAAGCTACGCTCGTCACACTGAGCCCACAACAAAGTTGTTAGAGGGTGACAGAAGCCTTTTTCCCCCATTAGGGTTTAAGGGTCCTTGCCCTGATAACAGTAGCGTACACTTTCTTTTAACCAAAAATATATATATATAAATAAATGAAAAAAAAAACGAAGTGTGTGTGTTGTGTGCGCGCTGTCATGGGTGCGTGTGCATGCGTGTGTAAGTGTGTGAATGTGTAAGAGAGAGAGTAAAATAAACAGAATATACAAACATAGCTAGGGAAGACATCGATAAAATGACTTAGCCATGTGGGTTAAACGGGACAAGATCAACTCACTGGGTAATATATAGTTGGCAATAATGAAACATGACCGCTTATGTTCATCGAGGGGTACTTGATGGTGACGATGATGACGAAGATGATAATTATTATGAAGATGATGATGATGGTTGTGTTAGACATAGTTTAAGAGTATGTCACGTACCGTGCTTAGTGTTGGGTTAAATCTTGAATCGTTTCTGGAGTAAAGGGGACTGTTGAAGGCTGTGAGGGTGGCTTTTGCTTCTGTGTAGTCGTAGGTCATCAGGTTAGCATAGTCCACATACCTGGTTCAGGCGGCAGAGCAGACATTATACTTTCATAGTAAAGAGTACACATCACACACAATCAGAACAAGTCCTGAGATTGCGTCATTGTTAAAAGCTTTTATTTGATCGCGGCTCAACGTTAGGTCTTTTTGTTGTTGTTTTTTCTTAAACATAGTTTCCTAATTAGATATCGAGTTCAAGTTTTGCTCTACATTTGTTGTGGATAAGTATACATTGTAGCACACATAGATTACCATTTTTGTTTTTCTTTTTAGAAGTATGGTATTCTTGTGTTTAATATATATTTTCTCACGGGAATTAATCTATGCGTTAACCATCAAATCTTTCCCTACCATTTTGTATTTAACGTCTGTCCCGCCGAGGACTACATCTATACCTCTCTTTACCATAGTGCCAGTTACTCACTGTTTCGAGGTTGAACGTAATATTTTTAATCTGCCATTGATACTAGAATCTGTAATGCCAGGTAGCAAACACCCCCCCCCCCCCCCCCCGCCCCCACCCATTTTCTCCTAAATGAAGGAGAAGAAACATTAAGTCAGTTCGAAATGTGAAACATGAATACCCTAGCTCTCGCGACCCCTTAAAACAGTTCCCTCGTGTTGTGGCGACCCCCAAACAATTATGAATATGCGTTTTCCAATGGTCTTAGGCGACTCCAGTAAAATGGCGGTTCGACCCACAAAAGGGTTGCGACCCGCTGGTTGAGAATCGCTGTCCTATTGGAAACAACGAAACAAACATATCTGACTGCCATGTAAACAGATACAGATTTGTTAGCAGTAAGGATTGAAACAATCGGATGTCCTATTAACAATATATTTTGTTCGTATGGAATTTTTTTTTTTTTTTTTTAAACCAGAAACCATGAGTTGTTAAGCCTTTGGCTCGGTACTGTGGATATCGAAACCCTTCCGCCTTGATTCCATGATAGGTACCGTAAATCGGAGAGGAATGTGGCTTTCCTGCCAACCCCCAGGCGTGAACCCGGATCACAAGGAGTACGTCACCCGGTCTGGTTTAGCCAACTGCACTAGCGAGCCGGGCTATTGAATTATTAAATGTAAGCCAATATCTGTAAACATTTGATTCAGTTATTCTAAAAACATATACTATGTAATTATAAGCATATTATGAATATATTATCGAACTATCATGGGTTCTCAACGCGTTTATGTATTGTAATATACATTTTTTATAAAAGATAATTACTGAGTCTCTTGGTTTCCAAAAATCTCTATAGTAAGTCATTTTTGTCTATTTCAAGTTTATATCCAAGTTTATATCCAAGTTTATATCCAAGTTTATATCCAAGTTTATATCCAAGTTTATATTACACAAAAAGTTGTTTTTTCTCAAAACTGTCGCTTCGTAAATCAGGAATCGGCGTAGAGGCTGTAAGACATCAGTAATGGGTCGATGAGTGACTGTATAACACATCAGTACTGGGTCGATGAGTGACTGTATAACACATCAGTAATGGGTCGATGAGTGACTGTGTAACACATCAGTAATGGGTCGATGAGTGACTGTATAACACATCAGTACTGGGTCGATGAGTGACTGTATAACACATCAGTACTTGATCGATGAGCGACTATGTAACACATCAGTAATGGGTCGATGAGTGACTGTGTAACACATCAGTAATGGGTCGTTGAGTGACTGTATAACACATCAGTACTGGATCGATGAGCGACTATGTAACACATCAGTAATGGGTCGATGAGTGACTGTATAACACATCAGTACTTGATCGATGAGCGACAATGTAACACATCAGTAATGGGTCTATGAGTGACTGTGTAACACATCAGTAATGGGTCGATGAGTGACTGTGTAACACATCAGTAATGGGTCGATGAGTGACTGTGTAACACATCACTACAGGGTCGATGAGCGACTGTGTAACACATCAGTACTGGGTTGATGAGTGACTATGTAACACATCAGTAATAGGTCGATGAGCGACTGTGTAACACATCAGTACTGGATCGATGAGCGACTGTGTAACACATCAGTAATGGGTCGATGAGTGACTGTGTAACACATCAGTACTGGATCGATGAGCGACTGTGTAACACATCAGTAATGGGTCGATGAATGACTGTATAACACATCAGTAATGGGTCGATGAGTGACTGTGTAACACATCACTACAGGGTCGATGAGTGACTGTATAATACATCAGTACTGGGTTGATGAGTGACTATGTAACTCACTTACTTGGCGATTTCTTTAACGTCAAAGCCTGGGTCAATGTTCCATTGTCCGGCCGGGCCAGCGAAGGTCAGGAGCAGCTTAGAGCTCGTGATTTCCGCATCGAAAGCTGCCCTCAGTGTCTGAAGACAAGAGTGTAAAACAACTGGAAAATCAGACAGTATATATCAGTTTTACAAAAATAAATTATACCGAAGACAGATCTTTGGTGCGAAAAACCTTCATCAGCAAACAACAAAAAGAAACAAAACAAACACCAGACAGGTGTGCTTGCTGTTGCTGCATCAGCACATCTTGCAAGATGCTCGGGTGTAAGTTTTTAATTACTTGAGCCTGAGTTTGATAGGCAGCTAGCTGCAATAGACGAGGTAAGAGAAGGTGAGACAGGTAAGGAGACACACAGATTAGGGCAAGCGAAGCAATAGGATGAGAGCATTAGTCTAAGAGAAGCAGACATTATGACTGGTACATACCGAAACAAAACAAGAAACAGATTAGCACACAAATATTATGAAAGTCGTTCACATACAGACTCATACATTAATAAACGGAACTAGAGAGCTGACAAACAGACACACATACTGAGATACAGCCGAATAGAAACAGCATGTTGACAGACAGACACAGATCGGCCCAAAAACAAACAGTGACGGTTAGGTTCACGGTAATCTCCCCAGACAAAGTGGGTCACATCGAAGCACACAGGCAGTCAAAACAACAAACGTTCTCTTGTACAACTCAGATATGGAAACGAGGGAACAACTGTTGCTGGTTAGGTTACCTTGAGAATGTTGGTAAACACCGCCCGAGTGTTGTTGTCTGGATACTCCCAGTCAATGTCCAGCCCGTCAAAGCCTCGACTCCTGAGGAACTGGACCGTGGATTTGGCGAAGGAGTTGAGCACTGCATCAGACTGGGAGATGGCCAGAAAGCCGTCGCTGTGCGCGTTCTGTCCCCCGATAGAAATGAGTGTCTTTAAGGCAGGGTTTAGCTCTTTGAGGTAATTGAAGTACCTGGGAATTTAGGGACAAAGCAGAGCTGACATTAATGCTGGGTTTCAATAAATGATGTACCTGGAAATACAGGGTGTTTGGTCCAGTCTCACTACACTAGGAGAAATCTGAAAAACAAGTACATGATGTCATCAAAACAAATGCTCCTGGGTCAGTCGTGAAACAATTTACCTTGTATGACTGTCGTCTTCTGGAGTAATTCTTTGACAGAATGATCTTATTAACGGAATAAATAAATAAATTTTTCTGTTGAGCAAAGAGTTCCGATATAGCGGTCGATAAACGCGGATGGTTGTAAGACATCGATTCCGATTTGTTTGAAAAAAAATAAAAGTTCATGTCACCCTAACCAGCTCCATTATTGAGCGGCGGTTATTTTGGGACTGCGTTTATTTGTTTGGAATATCCAATAGTTATTTGTCCATTGTGGCGTGTCCATACGCCTGTGTTCGTGCCACCTGTCATGTTGTAAGACATCCTTACAAACAAACTCCTTATAGCATTATGGTTAGATATTTAATGAATTCGTTTCTGGCTATAGGGAAATGTTTGCAAAACTGATGACTGGCACCTTTTTGTCTTTGCCGGATGATAGTGTTATACTGTATTCACAACTGAGGGATTGGGGAGGGGGTTGGCGGGGGGAGGGGTTGGGGGCAGAATTACCATTCAAGAAATGACAATACACACTTGCAGAGGGTATTTGGCGATATGAAGAGACGTGTACAATTATGTCCTGAACTCGGTAGTGAACATTACTAACACTGTTATAAAACAATATGTCATTGTAACTTTCCAGCTTCCCCAATACTGTTAGATCATAGCAGTGACTCTTCAGTAACCGATTTATTGACTCTTGAAGCAGATTTTATTATGGCGCTGTGTACCTCGTTTTTTCGAATGGTTCTGCAAACATTGTGTAGTGAGACTTGACAAACATGTATTTGAATAAAGCAACGTTAACAGCAATGCTCGGTGTAGTTTGAAATAGTTGAAGTACTCGGGAATGCGGATGAAGCAGTGTTACAGTGTTAATATTCATACTTGGTTTGGCTAGATAGTGTGCCTGCAAATATTTGAATAGGCAATGTGAATATTACTACCAGAGGCACCAAAACCTAAAATTTATAATTACACCCCCCCCCCCCCCCGCACTTTCAAGAAAAGATTTAAGACTTTAAAAGCACTCCCACCTAACCATTTGAAGCACTTTATTAGAAACTTTTGTTTGAACATATCATGTTAGTTCAAACATACATTTATTTGCATTCAGTACATCATTAATAGACACTGTAATGAAGCTTATTTCTTAAGCATCACCACCAAGACACTGAAGCAAGGCTTATGTCTTAAACATCACCACCAAGACACTGAAGCAAGGCTTATGTCTTAAGCATCACCACCAAGACACTGAAGCAAGGCTTATGTCTTAAACATCACCACCAAGACACTGAAGCAAGGCTTATGTCTTAAACATCACCACCAAGACACTGAAGCAAGGCTTATGTCTTAAACATCACCACTGAGACACTAAAACAAGGCTTATGTCTTAAACATCACCACCAAGACACTGAAGCAAGGCTTATGTCTTAAGTGTCACCACCAAGACACTGAAGCAAGGCTTATGTCTTAAGCATCACCACCAAGACACTAAAGTAAGGCTTATGTCTTAAGCATCACCACCAAGACACTGAAGCAAGGCTTATGTCTTAAGAGTCACCACCAAGACACTGAAGCAAGGCTTATGTCTTAAACATCACCACCAAGACACTAAAGCAAGGCCTATGTCTCAAACATCACCACCAAGACACTAAAGCAAGGCCTATGTCTTAAACATCACCACTAAGACACTAAAACAAGGCTTATGTCTTAAGCATCACCAACAAGACACTAAAGCAAGGCTTATGTCTTAAGCATCACCAACAAGACACTAAAGCAAGACTTATGTCTTAAACATCACCACCAAGACACTGAAGCAAAGCTTATGTCTTAAGCGTCACCGCCAAGACACTGAAGCAAGGCTTATGTCTTAAACATCACCCTCAAGACACTGAAGCAAGGTTTATGTCTTAAGCATCACCACCAAGGCACTGAAGCAAGGCTTATGTCTTAAACATCACCACCAAGACACTGAAGCAAGGCTTATGTCTTAAACATCACCACCAAGACACTGAAGCAAGGCTTATGTCTTAAACATCACCACCAAGACACTGAAGCAAGGCTTATGTGTTAAACATCACCACCAAGACACTGAAGCAAGGCTTATGTCTTAATCGTCACCACTAAGACACTGAAGCAAGGCTTATGTCCTAAACATCACCACCAAGACACTGAAGCAAGGCTTATGTCTTAAGCGTCACCACGAAGACACTGTAAAGAGGCTTATGTCTTAAGCATCACCATCAAGACACTGTAATAAGGCTTATGTCTTAAACATCACCACCGCCTTGAACAACTGTAGGGGACTGAGTAACTTCTTTGCCGCCTCATGAGAAAAATTGGTGTCGAAAGGTTTTCCCGTGTCTCTTGGGCCAAGTAGTAACTGCTATTGTTTACGAAATTTACGGTCCGAGTTCCACACTCCCTTCTTAGTGTATGATAATTTATGAGTGCTCTCTCTCTCTCTCTCTCTCTCTCTCTCTCTCTCTCTCTCTCTCTCTCTCTCTCTCTGTCCTCTTTCTCTCTCTTTCTCTCTCTTTCTCTCTCTTGCTCTCTCTCTCTTTCTTTCTCTCTCTCTTTCTCTCTCTTTCTCTCTCTGTCTCTCTCTTTCTCTCTCTTTATCTCTCTTTCTTTCTCTCTCTCTTTCTCTCTCTCTCTCTTTCTCTTTCTCTCTCTCTCTGACTCTCTCTCTTTTTCTCTGTCTCTCTTTCTCTCTCTGTGTGTGTGTGTGTGTGTGTGTGTGTGTGTGTGTGTGTGTGTAGACTGAGCAACTGTTGGTAGGCATCCCCGTAGCTGTACAACACACTTTTGTTTGCTCGATTTTTCTCGCCTTGTTGGTTACACAACCACTGGTGTGTAGCCTGGGACTTTGTGCTCGACTACTGAAGCATGACTATTTGCCTCTGATAGGATTAGTGGTTGATGTAACGCTTTAGAGCAGGCATGAAACCTGACCTTTAACCACAAACAAAAGCCCTCATGTCACCAGCTATGGAGATGGGGCGATTATAGAGGCGTTCTTTCAGATATGGCCGGGGGAGTGGCTCAAATGTCCTCTGTTTAAGTCCTGTTTAAGTTAACAATAATAATAATACTTACCACACTAATAAAAAAAGTTATTCTTATGCGCTGAATAGCAAAAACAAATGAAAATTTTTGTGAAATAATACAAAACGTGCAAACAAGGACTTACAAGAGAACGACAATACATTAACACCAGTGAGGAGTTGGCATCATTGCAATTTTTCGGGGTGCTGAGCTCGGCTGTAAAATGTATTCCCCCTCACGCCCCCCCCCCTCCCCCTCCCCACCCACAATCTCTGTGGAAGCTGACGTCGTGTTGTGGTTAAACGATCGTAGAGGGGAGGTTAGAAGATCGCCTGTCGATCACAAGGTCGTTTGTTCAAATCCGAAAGCAGCAGGAATGTTTTCCCAAAAATGATTTTGGCTCCAGGATCGAGCCAGATATAAATAGGTACCAGGTAAAGTTCTGGGAAGGAAAGGTGGCTGTTTTAATGTTGACATCAAACACCGAGTGTCAATTGGGTTCTAAATGACGGACCTAGCACTATGTTTCCATTATGCCTGAAAGCGTCGAAAAGAGTTATTTCAACCCATCTCCTACCGTAAACACTGGGGGCTGGGGCCTCAAGATGACCGAGAAACCCCATTTACCGGGGCCCCAGGGTGATTACGGTTGGCGACAGGTGTCAAGGGGTGACGCTAACAAAGGTAAGATGGGATTCAAAGATACTGGAGTGTTTGAACCTGACAGTGACTGTCGGAATACCAGTTTACCAATAACTTTGTAGCCCGGCTCTCTAGCGAAGTTGGTTAAACCTGACTTTCGCGGCGGCCGGGTGACGAACTCCTTGTGGTCCGGGTTCACTCCCGGGGGTAGGCAGAAAAGCCACATTTCTCCCAGATTAACGGTACCTATAATGGAATCAATGCCGAAGGGTTGCGATATCCATAGTACCGAGCCAAAGGGTTTACAACTCATGGTTTCTGGATACGTTAAAAAAAAAAATAGCTTAGGTGTGTGACGATCGTTATCAATAATGAATACATTTAAAAAAATACCTGGTAATGGGCACTGATAGAAAGAAGTAGAAAGATCAGTGTATACACTAGATATAGTAAAAGTAAAGATCCCTTTTTACACATTAGGCGCATCGGGTATATGGACAGAGCGTCCCAAATGTTTACTGACCAGTCGGCACTGGAAGGGTAATGTGGTCAGCATTACGCCGGCTGTCTTTACTTCCCCAGGACGTATACACTAGATAACATCAACATCTCAAGTTATCGTTACCACCGAGGCCATCAAACCTGCCCCTTCAATAGTTGTCTATTTGTTTATTAATTAGGGTGTGTGTAAAGTCTCATTACACAGTGTATGCGGGATAACTCTGAAAACTTCCAAGTACATGGCGTCATCAGAAAAAGGTCCTTTAAAAGGTAAGTTGCGTATCCTTTACAGGACGTTGCAGAACCAACCCCTGGCTGTTGTGTGGTTTTTCTAGGCAAATTTAAGTCCAGTAGTTTGCCATTGCTTTCTGGACAGTCGGCTTTCTTGATACCACTGTCGAAACCAACGCAAGGCGCATGGTCCGCAGCTGGGATCGAACCCCTCATCCCGGTATTACGAAGCGACTTAGCAACAGAACCGACCCTTTTAAAACATCATTAAATTAATTACGGTAGTTTCTGCTATGGTCTACCACTGTTCTGGGGAATCTGTCAAGTACCAACAATATATTTATTAAAACAGATGTTGGGAATCCTCAAGGGCCTTGAAGCGATGACTGTGTGCGTCTCTTTCTATTGTCAAAAAATGTATGTACGTGTATGTTGCTTTTTTCTTGAATGGTCATTCTGCTTGCTTCCTTTAATAACAACATTTAGTTTTCAGTGCAAAGAATTACTTGTAATCCCCTCCACCCGAAGACAAATTGTGATCGTGTAACTCACGAGAGGCTGCTGCTGGAGATCACCACCTGAAAGTGTTACATTTTTGTAACACGTGCAGTCTGATGGTTTAAAAGTTACCGTTGCTCAGGTAACCGTAAGCTGTTTGCTTCGATCGATGAACATATATGTATATGGCAAATAAGGCCAAATGAAAACTAGAGTTGTTTGTAATAAAAAAAAAATTTCAAAGAAAGAAATTATTATAAACAAGTTGTGTGCCAAAATGTGGACAACTCAGACCGATTGGCTGCTGAGTTGCAGATGTTTTAAGTTCTGCATGACTTCTGGGACGGACTGTAGAAGACAGGACAAACTAGTACACCTATTTACCTGAAGTTGCCATTGGGGCCTTCCTCTACGTTAGGGTCACTGGCAGTCAGCTGTTTAGTGGTGGGATCCAGTTTCCCAAAGGCATAGATCAAGTGAGTGCAGAGGTTCGAATCTATATCTTTCACGTCGTACTTGGCCGCTGTAGTCCGGTACCTGGCCCAGTTGGTAAAGTAGCAGACACAGAGGAATGCATCGACTGGCGCTGTGAACAAAGTCGAGATTGCAATCATATTCGCCTCACGGGTATAACGTCGGATGTCGGAAGATAAAATCAAACAGGACCGGATATTCTTGTGATTCAGTAAGTAAGCACTGCACAGAGAGAGAAGTCTGAACAAAAATTCCATGTATAATGCTTAAAATAACTATATCGTAAACGTGATGATGATGATAGTAATTGTGGTGATAACGATGATTTTGGTACTGATAGTGATGATTACGATTATGCTAGTGCTGGTCGTCGTAGTGTTGTTGGTGGTGATAGTGCTACAAGCAGTGATGATGATGATGATAATGTAACAGTGATGGAGGAATGGTGATGATGGTAGTTGTTATAATGATAATGGTAATGATGATGATATTGGCGATGTTGCTAAATTGATCACACAGCTTGACCCCAACAACATGGCAGCATGAAAGAACTAGGTTGTCAGAAGTTCTACAGATCTACAAGTTAAACGCAAAAAGTCTCCCCTTCACGACAGACACACATCATACACAAGGTGCTGGCTGGACACATATCTTCACCAATCGCTGCTCGATGTGTCCAGTAGTGAATACCACGCCTGCCGCTGTTACTTCCCAGGACTTTTCCTGGTACCTGTGGTTTTTTAAAATATTTTTTATAGGTCGGATCAACGTGTAAGCCAAAGTCTGTTTTAAAGAGAAAAATTCCTAACGACGTGAGTTCGAATCCAGCACAGTCTGGTCCAGAGGCAAGCAATTATTGAAGACTATCATCAGAGAACTCTGGACACATCCACAGGTGCTCCGATCTCCTCATCAAAAGCTCCACAAGTGTAAAACTACTGGTGACGCCTGTTCTGTGTTATTTAATTACACATCCTGTCCCTGTGGCGAAGTACCCCTTCCCCCCCCCCCTTCCCAGAGTACAACTGAAGCCACACTGTAACATATAATTTCCCCTCCCAGGGTACAACACGAGCCACACTGTAACATATCATTTCCCCTCCCAGGGTACAACACGAGCCACACTGTAACATATCATTTCCCCTCCCAGGGTACAACACGAGCCACATTGTAACATTTCTTCTCATTATATGTTGTGTCACCTCCACAATGAAGGTTAAGTGCAGTGGATAAATACAGTGGACATTTACGAATTTCTTCCTCTGTGTGATTCTCGTCCGAAATCCGTGATGACGGCGTTTTTTTTTTTTTTTTCTAAGCGGTCTGCAGTAGGTCTGGACCAGTGATGCGATATTAAGTCTAGAGTCTAGACCAGTGATGCGATATTAGGTCTAGAGTCTAGACCAGTGATGCGATATTAAGTCTAGAGTCTAGACCAGTGATGCGATATTAAGTCTAGACCAGTGATGCGATATTAAGTCTAGAGTCTAGACCAGTGATGCGATATAAGGTCTAGAGTCTAGACCAGTGATGCGATATTAGGTCTAGAGTCTAGACCAGTGATGCGATATTAAGTCTAGAGTCTAGACCAGTGATGCGATATTAAGTCTAGAGTCTAGACCAGTGATGCGATATTAAGTCTAGAGTCTAGACCAGTGATGCGATATTAAGTCTAGAGTCTAGACCAGTGATGCGATATTAGGTCTAGAGTCTAGACCATGATGCGATATTAGGTCTAGAGTGTAGACCAGTGATGTGATATTAAGTCTAGAGTCTAGACCAGTGATGCGATATTAAGTCTAGAGTCTAGACCAGTGATGCGATATTAAGTCTAGACCAGTGATGCGATATTAAGTCTAGAGTCTAGACCAGTGATGCGATATTAGGTCTAGACCAGTGATGCGATATTAAGTCTAGACCAGTGATGCGATATTAAGTCTAGAGTCTAGACCAGTGATGCGATATTAAGTCTAGAGTCTAGACCAGTGATGCGATATTAAGTCTAGAGTCTAGACCAGTGATGCGATATTAGGTCTAGAGTCTAGACCAGTGATGCGATATTAAGTCTAGACCAGTGATGCGATATTAAGTCTAGAGTCTAGACCAGTGATGCGATATTAAGTCTAGAGTCTAGACCAGTGATGCGATATTAAGTCTAGAGTCTAGACCAGTGATGCGATAATAAGTCTAGAGTCTAGACCAGTGATGCGATATTAAGTCTAGAGTCTAGACCAGTGATGCGATATTAAGTCTAGACCAGTGATGCGATATTAAGTCTAGACCAGTGATGCGATATTAAGTCTAGACCATTGATGTGATATTAAGTCTAGACCAGTGATGTGATATTAAGTCTAGACCATTGATGTTATATTAAGTCTAGACCAGTGATGAGATATCGTTTGGAGCCGTCGTAGCACAGAGGCTAGAGTCTGAGTTGACGGTCTAGAGGTGTTTGGTCGAATCCACGTAGATGCTGCTTTTTGCCTTTAAGATTGACTTTGTCTCCTAGGTTGACCCAGTCCTAAATAGATATCATATAAAGTCCTAGCCGATGCCTTTGTTCAAATATGAACCTAGCATCATGTGCTCGATATACCAGTAACTTTCAAAATTGCCCTTTACTGAATCATTTTACTTTAGGTTGAGGGATTGTGAAAAGCGTTTACTAACCTGTAAGCCACAGGGAGGCAGTACCGTCATGTCTGCACTCCAGCCTACTCCTCTTAAGTCAGTGTTACATATTGTTGGCCATAGTTCAAGCTGTCTTGCGGGCCGCCCTGTTTTGTGGCTTGCGTAACACGAGGGACGACGCCACAAAGGAATTATTAGGAATGGGCCTTAGCCCCGCTTTTAATTTTCCAAGGACCGCATGGGACTGAATGGGCATTAGTCTTGTTGAAATACGCAAAAATAGTAATAAATATTATTAATCCTGGCTTTTTCTAGAAAACAAAAAGTGCTTGAAAAGGTGCAGATACTCACTGCATGGTATCGAATACTGTAGTGCTGGGGTTGAAAACTATGTCCAAGAAAAGGACATAGTTATTATATTTATTAATTATTATGTGTTAAATGGCAAACGAAATATACAGTAAACGTACGTTAAGACTAACTAGATTGTGGAGATCAGTCGGTTAACTTGAACATAATTATGGTCCCAGATGGGATGTAATTACTGATACAATAATAACGCATATATATCCCACCCCCAGTTTCTGGGACGATAACTTTAGGAAACAAAAATTTCCAAGAATGTCGCTTAAATCCTAAACACTGAAACAGTATTGCCTGTAAGCAGTGAAAGATACGTCGCGTAAGAACAAGCTACAGTTGTAAATTTCAGTTGCAAGCTTCGCGTTATGCACAAGAAATTGAAAACGAACCGCTGTGGGGAAGTCTGAGCCGCTGTGGGGAAGTCTGAGCCTCTGTGGGAAAGTTTGAGCCGCTGGGAGGGAGATTGAGCCGCTGTGGGGAAGTCTGAGCCTCTGTGGGAAAGTTTGAGCCGCTGGGAGGGAGATTGAGCCTCTGTGGGGAAGTTTGAGCCGCTGTGGGGAAGTCTGAGCCGCTGTGGGGAAGTCTGAGCCTCTGTGGGGAAGTCTGACCCGCTGTGGGGAAGTTTGAGCCTCTGTGGGGAAGTTTGAGCCGCTGTGGGGAAGTTTGTTGTTAATGAGAAAATAATAAATGAAAATTATTTAGAATGAAAGATGCTCTTTAAAAAAAAAGACATCGACAAAGTGCTAGCGAAAAGGTGAGTACCCGGAAATGAAAATGTTAGTTTGCCGCGCGTCAATTATCAGACATCATAGGAATTCCATAGTGAGAAGTTGAAGCTAGTAACAAGATAACGCTGGGCAGGGCGTTTTATCGATGGAATGACAAATACATAAATGTAAGCATCTAGGCACACGAGTAACAACCGGTGGAAGATGTATAAACATAGATGAAGAACAAAATAGGACAGGCCAAAACTGCCTTTTATAAAATGAAGAACATCTTATGCAATGAATCTTCGTCACCCGAGGTTAGGCAAAGAAACCTCGCATGCTTTATGGAGCCATTTTCAACATACGACTGTGAATCCTGGACAATAAATATACATGCGAACAATATCTTGACAACTCGGAGATTTCATTTTACAAAAGAATGCTTATAATTCCTTGGAGAGCCAAAAAGAGCAACCCAGATGCTATGCTAGAGGCGAGGCCTCAAAGACAACTATTCACACACATCAGATAAAGACAGTCATAATGTTTTGTCGTGTTAGGAGAATAGAGAAACTGCAACATGTGACCACGGGAAAAATTTGTGGAGAGAGAGGCAGAGGACGGCAGAGGGAGAAGAGTCATGAGTCTTCTGTCATGGCATAGATGGGTGTCAACACACGAACAAATACACTCATTTGAGGATCGCATATCGCGGAGAGGCGTGATCGCCTAGGCCAGTCGGAAAGTCACTTGATGACGATGATATTAGATTCTGCTAACAAAAAGTTTGGGGGATCTCAAGGTGCCGGAACTGCCAGAGTTAGGCGCCAGTGTACATCCCGTACGTTAACCCTAGGCCGAGGTCTATATTTGGCGCAAGTAAAGAATGTGGGTCAGCAAATAAACGCCATATGTGTTTGGTGGAGCCGGACGGGTATGCTTGTGACTCCAGGTTTCTGCTTGTGACTCCAGGTTTCTGCTTGTGACTCCGGGTTTCAGCTGGTGACTCCGGGTTTCTGCTTGTGACTCCGGGTTTCTGCTTGTGACTCCGGGTTTCTACTTGTGACTCCAGGTTTCTGCTTGTGACTCGGGGTTTCTGCTTGTGATTCTGGGTTTCTGCCCTGTAACATGAACATAGCGGATCCGTGGCTCTAGACAACCACTGGTCTCAGTTGTAAGACAATGAGGATGGTGCCATCTTAGCAGGAAGCGATAGGAAGCGAGCAATCCTGAAAAGGCGCTGAAATGGTCAACAAACAGACTGAGCAAACTAGGACGCCCCAAGAAATCCTAAAATGAACGTTGATTGGAGAGGTTAAAGGCGATATACTACATTCCATCCCAGACATCGAACGGGTTGAACAGGAGACAAAAAAAAGGAGAAACCGACTGCCTTATGTGACACAGAATGGCTCAACAGCATGATGATGATGGTGGTGATGGTGTTAGTGATGATGATGATGATACTGATGATGATGGAAAGGATGATGATGATGATGACGATGATGATAAAAATGATGATGATAATGATGTTGATGATAAGGGTGATGATGATGATGATGATGATGATGATGACAATGATAATGATGATGATGATGATAATGATAATAATAAGGATGATAAGGAGGATGATGATGATAATGTCAATAATGATTTATGTCTAAATTATAACTGCTGAGAAAGTTAAATAAGTTGTATTTCTAATATATGCCAGCGGGTCTTGTTCTGTGGGGTGGCTAATGAGCTGCATACATGACATTTCCCCATAGCACTCTCTCTCTCTCTCTCTCTCTCTCTCTCTCTCTCTCTCTCTCTCTCTCTCTCTCTCTCTTTGTCTGTCTGTCTCTCTCTGTCTCTGTCTCTATCTCTCTGTCTCTCTCTATCTCTCTCTTTCTGTCTCTTTCTCTCTGTCTCTCTCTCTTTCTCTCTCTGTCTCTCTCTATTTCTCTCTATGCCTCTCTCTGTCTCTCTCTGTCTGTCTCTCTCTGTCTCTCTCTCTCTGTCTGTCTCTCTCTCTCGCTCTCTCTCTGTCTCTCTCTATTTCTGTCTAATAGTTTATCTATCTATCTATCTATCTATCTATCTATCTATCTATCTATCTATCTATCTATCTATCTATCTATCTATCTATCTATCTATCTATCTATCTATCTATCTATCTATCTATCTATCTATCTATCTATCTATCTATCTATCTATCTATCTATCTATCTATCTATCTATCTATCTATCTATCTATCTATCTGTCTATCTGTCTATCTGTCTGTCTGTCTGTCTGTCTGTCTGTCTGTCTGTCTGTCTGTCTGTCTGTCTGTCTGTCTGTCTGTCTGTCTGTCTGTCTGTCTGTCTATCTAATCTATCTAATCTATCTATATATCTAATCTATCTATCTATCTATCTATCTATCTATCTATCTATCTATCTATCTATCTATCTATCTATCTATCTATCTATCTATCTATCTATCTATCTATCTATCTATCTATCTATCTATCTATCTATCTATCTATCTATCTATCTATCTATCTATCTATCTATCTATCTATCTATCTATCTATCTATCTATCTATCTATCTATCTATCTATCTATCTATCTATCTATCTATCTATCTATCTATCTATCTATCTATCTATCTATCTATCTATCTATCTATCTATCTATCTATCTATCTATCTATCTATCTATCTATCTATCTATCTATCTATCTATCTATCTATCTATCTATCTATCTATCTATCTATCTATCTATCTATCTATCTATCTATCTATCTATCTATCAGGTTGAAAGTAACTGACATTTACCTGACTGCGTGTTCAGAATCAAGACTGACAGAATCACCTGGAGTGTTTGATCCCTCATGATGATGATTTCTTGTGTACTCCTGTTGACATCAAAGACACCAAGAGGGAATGTAAAGGGTCATATAATACACGGTTATCATATGTATTTTGTTTACAAACTCGCAGACAAGTAAACATACAGATGGAAAGACAGAAACACAAATAGAAGGACAAAAAAGACACGCATACAAAAATTAGACATAATGTCATTTAAATATACACAATATGCTCAAAAGCACACACATGTAAGAATATGTCGATGAGTTTCTCATTAATTAATAATTTATTAGAATTACTCTTTTAAAAAATAGTTTTAACAAATTATGAAACCAAAGAAAATAATCAGCTAACAATGAATATCACAGTGAAGGGGTGAAATTGGAACACGTTAAAAATTGCTTATATCTTGGACAAGTAATAACATGTGACGGCAGAAGTGAAACAGAAGTCAAGAAAAGAATAGGGATGGCCAAAAACATTTTCAACAACATGCAAAAGTTACTGACATCAAGAGACATAAGCAATACATTAAAAATGAGAATTGTCAAATGTTATGTATATTCTCAACCTTACTGTATGGCACAGAGACATCCACAATGAACCAACAACTGGAAAATCGTATCAGTTCTTTGGAGATGTGGATATACAGAATATTAGGTCGTATTTCATGGAAACAAAAGCTATCAAATACAGAGGTATTGAGGAAATTGGGAATGAAAAGGGATTTGCTAGGTGAAATAAAAAAGAGATGAGTGAAATATTTTGGTCACATTAAAAGACATAACAGTATTGTAAAGATCATCCTAGAGGGAAAGGTTCAAGGTAGTCGAGCAAAAGGCAGACAGCGTTACAAGTGGGAGGATAACATCTAGAGATGGACAAACAGCAGTATGAGTGAGTGTACATAAAGGGCAAGAGACAGGGCTTGTTGGAGATCCATTGCAGCTAACCTTCATTGTGGAGACGGCACCTAACTGATTGATTGATATTTTTTATAAACACTTTTTTTTTTTACGTGTTTTCAATTTTAATGTTATTTTACATTCTACAATCTGCCAGTTAATGTCATTTTTTATACCACTTTTGCGGTGTAGGCGGGGGTGGGGGGGGGGGAGGTGGCAGGTTGTATTTGAGGCTGAGGATTTAGCGCCGTATGGCTAGTGCTGTCGCCACGGACTGTGCAGATGAGGGTTTTATTTTGTACATTCAACATTGCCATGCATACAAATTGGAGAACAACTAAAAATAAGACAGAAATGTTAAGAGTATTCAAAAACAAATGCCTAAATAAATTTCTGAACATTAAATGGAATGAATTCGAGAAAGACGAAAAAGCAATAAAAAAATGTTACGACAAACACTTTTATGAGAAAACTAGCAATATCAATAAGACAAGCGGGCAGAGAATCACTGAACAGAGACTGAAATGGGAAACAAATGAAATGAAGAAGCGGGAACATTCAAGATGAACTATAACACGACTAGGGTTGGGACCGAATATAACGTAACCCTTGACCCGTTAGGGTCGTGGGCGTGTATCCATGGACGCTCTAGCACATCACATCCGCCATCTTTCTCTGTCTTCTACTTGATGAATAAGTTTATGAAAACTTAGTCCTGTCCATTTCTTGATGCTGTCATTCGAGATTCTTCTTTGTCCTCCTCTTCTTCGACTACTACCTCTCCCCCCTCACCCCATGTGACATGAATGATACAGGTATTAAGGTGGACAACTGGGAACCAAATGCCATGGACCGTGTTGTGTGGAAAGGGCATATCAGGAAGGGAATGAGACTGAAGGAAGAAATTATTGCAGAAAGGATGAGAGTTGAGCGTCTGAAAAGAAACGGATTACACACAAATGTTGTTAATAATGGTCCTGAAATCCCATGCTATCATTGTGGAAGACTTTTCTTGACACGGGCGGGTCTTGCTAGTCACACTCGCCATCGCCATGGGCTGTGAGTCTCATGACTCCTCATATCGCAGTAGAACACTATCGTCTGTAAAGACGCCAATGTTAGGGAGATGTCTTTTATCCCACCAAATTGGGACCAGGAGCCCAACATGATGATGGCGAAAGATATTTGTTAGTCTCATATCTAGGGTGACTTTACGTCATGTTTTCACCAGGACAGTCCTGTTTCTCTAGGTGTGTCCCGGCCGTCGCCTTGTCACTCTACAGTGTTTACAACAATCTAGGAATTAGCTTAAGAATACACCATACACTTATAGTTATATCTTAGTTATATCTTATAGTAATATCTGTGATACTTTCTAATTTCAGACACTTGTAATGCCTGACATGTGCCGATGAGAATTGTAAACAGTTAATGAGCATATTGTTTCGTTTATTTCTTGGTGTCAATCGTTCCGGTTATTATACTATTTCTGAGGGGATAATTAAACTTTTTATCTCGGTGACCTAGAAGAAAGCTAATGGGTTAAACTGACTTATTTGTGATGTCTTCTTTTCAACTGAAGATATTATGGTCATCCTACGTGTGTCTGTCCTCCTGTATTTTCATTTATCACGCGTAAAAACCCACGTGAGTGGCATAATGTCACATTATTGCAAATACTGTAATGATGCTATAAATGGGTATAACGTCAGGATATGACTTAGCGATAGAGTTGGGGTATGAGAATCCTGGGTCACGGGGAAATGGCTGAATGACAGAACTGGGAAAGTCCCTAGTAGCGTGGGTTTCACGGAGAGGTGGTGAAAAGACAAAATTCAGCAATTCACGTGTGGGAATGTGTGGATGCGAGATATGGGTGATTGAGGATGAGGTGGTCATTTTGTGACCGGACCCAAGAGTGACAGGAAGTGGAACTGAATCTAGAGTGATAGGTTTGAACGTGGATCTGGATGAGAATCTAGTGAACGTTCGTCCAGAGCGACAAGGAGCGGAGCTGTGTTAAATCACTGTTTAGGAAAGCAGTTGTGTTTTACGGCCTGTTGGTTATGCCAGTCGTGTCCATTGTCTAAAGCGTGGCTGGAGACTTAAAGCGTGAGTAAGGCGAGAATGCCCGAATGACGTAAGTAATTAGTTCTACTGTTGATTCTTGTCGCTTGTGTTGTATTGATAATAAACCCGGAATTGCTGTCAACTTTCGTCAACTGTCATTGAAAGACGTGTGACGGAGAGAAGAGACGTTTGGCTGGAACGAGCTGTGACTTGACACCTAGACAACAGAGCTAGTGTTTAATCGGCACGAGGAAGATTAAGTGCATAGGAGATACATTACAAATACATTAGGTGTCTACAATTGGCGTGTCAGGAGAGATATTTATTTTTCCATTCAGCGGTTTCAACTTCAGCGGAAAGTTCTGGTTATTTGTGTACTTGTAGACTTCAGTCTCGTTTTAGAACTTTGAGTTTCCCACGCACATCTGTTTTACAGATCAGAACAGTGGAAAGTGTTTCGTGACCCTCTAAAACTTAGGAAAGTGTTTCGTGACCCTCCAAAACTGCGAAAAGTGTTTCGTGACCCTCTAAAACTTAGGAAAGTGTTTCGTGACCCTCTAAAACTGCGGAAAGTGTTTCGTGACCCTCTAAAACTGCGGAAAGTGTTTCGTGACCCTCTAAAACTGCGGAAAGTGTTTCGTGACCCTCTAAAACTGCGGAAAGTGTTTCGTGACCCTCTAAAACTGCGGAAAGTGTTTCGTGACCCTCTAAAACTGAGGAAAGTGTTTCGTGACCCTCTAAAACTGAGGAAAGTGTTTTACGACCCTCTAAAACTGAGAAAAGTGTTTCGTGACCCACTAAAACTGAGGAAAGTGTTTTACGACCCTCTAAAACTGAGAAAAGTGTTTCGTGACCCACTAAAACTGAGGAAAGTGTTTTACGACCCTCTAAAACTGAGAAAAGTGTTTCGTGACCCTCTAAAACTGAGAAAAGTGTTTCGTGACCCTCTAGACCTGAAGAAAGTGTTTCGTGACCCTCCAAAACTGAGGAAAGTGTTTCGTGACCCTCCACAACTGAGGAAAGTGTTTCGTGACCCTCCACAACTGCGGAAAGTGTTTCATGACCCTCTAAAACTGCGGAAAGTGTTTCCTGACCCTCTAAAACTGCGGAAAGTGTTTCCTGACCCTCTAAAACTGCGGAAAGTGTTTCTTGACCCTCTAAAACTGCGGAAAGTGTTTCCTGACCCTCTAAAATTGACAGTTAATCAAACAAAGAAACAGAAGGGAATGTAGATAGCTGTGCATTCTTAAATCTGATGTTAACAAATGAAAAGTCACTCCTGACGCTGCTTAGAGGTTATACAATCTACGAGGCTGTAAAATTATTTGTGATAGATAAAGCGCTGCAATAACGTCTCTTTCATTTCTCTGTTTGGTTTTTGTTACAGGTATGGTCTTTTCACACAATTAGGAAGTCGAGAAAGCGAGCAACGATCTGATAGCTCTATGACTGACAGATGGATGTTCTTTTTGTTTCAAGTGATATCCAAAACTTAGCTATGATTTCATTTCATGTCTGGACACAAGACTGACATCGATCATCTTTGTTTTCCCTACCATCAACTGTGCATGATTGCACATCTTCCAAGACGGGTTAATTTTACAATGGTAGCCTTGATAATGTTTCTAATTTTAAGAGAAATAATTATCAGAATTTGCAATCGCGGAAGAAAACACTGTCTGTCCTACTCTGTTACACGGTCAGGCAGGGATTTTGAAGAACACAGATCTAGAGTACTCATTATTCGCCGTCTTCTATCTCTTAACTATCTTTTGAATATCTCTTAACTATCTTTTGAATATCTCTTAACTATCGCTTAAAGATCTTTTAACTATCTCTTATCTATCTCTTGAATATCTCTTAACCATCTTTTGAATATCTCGTGAATATCTCTTAACTATCTCTTGAATATCTGTTAACTATCTCTTAAATATCTCAACTACCTCTTAACTATCTCTTGAATATCTCTTAACTATCTCTTTTCTTTCTCTTGAATATTTCTTAACTATGTCTTGAATATTTCTCAAGCATCTCTTATATATCTCTT